CCCCCACACACACACACACATACATCTTTATTACTTTTTTACAAAAAGGGCGACTGTGGCTGTGAGGGAGTGTGGTCGTCTTTCAACCAGAAGGTTGTGGGTTCGATCCCAGCCCATGCAGTCAACATGTCGATGTATCCTTGGGCAAGATACTTAACCCTGAGTTGCTCCCGATGGCATGGCCAACGGTGTGTGAATGTGTGTGAATGTTAGGTCCTAGAGTAAGGTACACTGCTCTGTATGAATGGGTGTGAATGGGTGAATGACATGTATGTAAAGCGCTTTGAGGGGTCTTAAAGACTGGATAAAGCGCTATATAAGTACAGTCCATTTACCATTACTCTAGTTTTAGTGTCTATGTGTCACATGATAACTAGTTTGTTGTGTGTTTGTTTCAGGATCCTCGGGGACAGTGTGATCCCTCTCCCTCACATCTACGGTGCTCGAATCAAAGGGGTGGAGGTCTTCTGTCCGTTGGACCCCCCACCTCCATATGAGGTTGTTGCTGGAAGCTCTGCCAATGCACTTATACAGGTACACATCAAATGAACCTCCTTTACACTAAAGGCTAACGAAGACTGGATGTTTGACATGATAACTTATTGGCTCAAATATTTGTTTCGCATACATCCATACTGAAATATCTGCCATAAGAGGATATCAGCCAGGCTGGTTTATCGGCTCAGCTCTAAACAAAATAACTTTTTTAGATTAAAAAAATCCATGACAGTCAATCTTGAATTTTTGTCAAAGCTACAAACTCTGCAACATCTGAGATTTGTATCTTCTCAAAAGAACTTTTGGTTATTGGCTTCAAACATTGAAGGTGTACACACTAAGATACAATATTAGAAATACATGAATAAAATGTAATTTTATCCTCCATGTGCCAACTATGAGATCTCATTACAGAACAATAATCCATCCAATACATCATAACAACTATATAATAATATATAACAAACCTTTCCTTCATCCCACCATCATTGCAGGTCTTTCTCAATTTATAAACTGAGTTACTGCAAGAACCGACCAAAGTTACATCAGTGAAGAATAAAGGTACATTTGTCACTAGTGGTCATAACTATAGCAGTGTGTGAATGTGTGTTTCTCCCAGGAGACAGAGATTGCACTGACAGAGCTGACTATATACACGACGGCCTCTCCCTCAGAAGCCAGTGATCCAGGTAGGACATACTTACACACCAGGCCGAGTGTCGATTGGCTGATAACGGCTCTCAATCTTTGTACTGCCCTTTGATAGGATGATCAGGGGGAACAAAAACGCTGTAACAGTGGTTCTCCAGTGTCATGTACTAACTCCTGCTGTATCGTACTATCAAGCTGTTTTTTTGTGCCAGGGTAACTCAATTAAAGCTCTCCTATCATGCAAAATGCACTTTTTGATGTCTTTTACACATAAACATGTGTCCCCGGTGTGTAAGGGAACTCACAAACTGTCAGAAAACAAAACCCTCTCTCTTTTCCTCCATACCCAAATCACTAAAAACGGGGATACAACGGAGCTGATCAAGATTAGCTGCGTCATGACGACATTACTAAAATGCGGGCTGGCTTTACACCCATGACCCTATCAGAAACAATGCGCGACGTGTTTTGGACGTAATATGGTCTTTGTTTAATTTAGCAAGCATTGCTAACACTCAGAGCTAACCTGTACTGGAGAGAGTATAAAAAAGCAGGAAATAAAAAAAGGAACTCACCTTGTAGTAAACCCGCAACAAAATAAGCATTTGAGCTCCATACTGTTTCAGAAATAATAATAGTTTTGAACATGATCTGGCGTTTAATCCCGGCATCGTTTAGTTTAGTTTAAAAAAAAGCTTGTATAAGGCTTTAGACCCAGAATCACCGTTTCTCTTACGGTACGTCCACACGGCAGCGTGCGTTGAACCCCCCCGGCGGGCGTGTCTGGCCTGCGACCAACAACCAATCACATTAATCTCCCGCCCTGGACACACACACGCGGTTTGATTGCTAGCTTGCATATGATTTGATTGGCTGGCGCTTCCGTCGACGCTTGAAAAGTTGAACTTTTCTCAACTTTCGAAGCGAGTAACAGAGGCAAAGCGACGCGACGGAACCACAATACAGTTCGGCAAAGCGCTGCCGTGTGGACGGGCTGTAACAGGGCTGAAATAGAGGGGTATGAGGCATGGCTAGAATGGGTGATCAAACACTTCATAGACATGTTTTTTATATATTTGTATTTATCTGATACAGTATATATATATAGAGAGATATATCTATAATATATGCCTACAAATAGTATAATAGGAGACCTTTAAAACATAACCAACAACCAATCACTTTAATCTCCTGCCCTGGACACACAAGCACGCGGTTTGATTGGCTAGCTTGCATATGATTTGATTGGCTGGCGCTTCCGTCGATGCTTGAAAAGTTGAACTTTTCTCAACTTTCAAAGCGAGCAACAGAGGCAAAGCGACGCGACGGAACCACCGCAACGCAGTTCGGGAAAAGCGTGACGTCACCCCATTCAAAGTGAATGGGAAGCGTCTCCGTTGAAGCACGCGACGCTGCCGTGTGGACGTACCGTGACATGAATTAAAGACCTGCTTCCATTGCTGCAACAGGAACGACTAGTTCCACTATAATTAACCTGCATTGTCTCAACACACACAATGAGCTTTGTTATTCCTCTAAATGCGTGCTAATGTTTATCAAACAAGAAATATATATTTGTACATGTGATATATGCAATACAACAGATTTAAGGTAAGTAGGATATATAAGTGAAAGCAATAGAGAAACTTGAAACATATAATGCTATATTCATTGGGTATACTATTGGGAGCTCCTGGGGGAAATGTTTAGGACTTTAACTGCATAATACTAAAAAATGTGTATAATAACGTAGACTACCCTCTGGAGCTGGCTAGCGAACAGAGTACCTCAAAGTAAATTAAAAAAATGAAGTTGGGGGAGTTAAGGATTTTAAAACGTTTTTGCTTTCTGCTTATAGTCTAATAGTCTTATAGTCTACGATACGTCCACACGGCAGCGTCGCTTTGAAGCTTGCCGGTGGGCGTGTCTGGCGTGGGCCAACAACCAATCACATTAATCTCCCGCCCCGGACACACAAGCACACGGTTTGATTGGCTAGTGCTTGTACTGGCATATGATTTGATTG